TCCAGGGGATTAATCGTCAAATTAATCGTTATCGGCTAAATACCACAATTAATCGTGATTAATTTTTTTTGCCAATATTGCCCAACCCTACGGTCCAGCTGTGTTATCACCCCACCACCACTACACACATACACAGAGTTTTACCCTCACAATCACCATCTTTTATCTGCGTTTACTTTGACAATACCAGCTAAAGAACGACTGTAAAATCAATCAACTTCTTAAAAAAAATTTGTTTTCAATTTTTTCATACTGAGCAGAGGGTTACCTGTAACATTCAAATATCACCTTTTAAATTTATCAAAACTGCAAAAAAAATCCCAATTTATAAACTTTCTTGTACCTAAAAATACTTTCAGTTAAAAACTATGATTGAAAATAATAAAAACTTACTAAACAAATCAAATTAACAGAATCTACGTGAGAATTGTAAATTATGTTTCATGTGATCMTGCATTACATTTACATAAAGTCTGATCCCAAATTTAGCTCAAATTCCCAAAACCCTTTAATACAGTGTAGGATTTAAATGAGCTCATATTTATCTACAAACACATAAACTGACTTCCTCATTGAGAATACCCTCCCTGAGAGTTTTGGGGGAAAACAATGGAAAAAATCTGAGACACAGCTTTAATTTACTTTTGTTTTGTTCAGACAAATATAGCTGTTTTAGTGTTAATGTGTGTCTGTTTGTTCCAGTAAACACACACCTGTTAATTGATGTTATCTCCCGGGTCATTTATTTATTTATTTATTTATTATTTTGGCCAGTAGACCTGTCTAAAGTTAAAGCTGTGTCTCAGATAGGTCCTGAGAAATGTTTGTTAAATCTGTTTTCAAAGCAGCAGCGCATCAGATCCAGCATGGCGAAAGTGCGCTAGTTTAAAAATTAATACCTCGTCAGACGGCGTTTATTACCTTTTAATACTTTTTAATGGCTTTAATTTTTGCTTATCTGATTTACTACCTTTTAATACTTTTTACAACCCCACGGATACCCTGTAGAAGATGGAGAAATTAAGACTGAATATGGGTTAGATTTGGGTGGTAACAAAGTCTAAGGTTGGTGTCTCAAAGAAGGGATCCAACATAACCGGAGTGACTACTTTCTGAAAGCTTTATTTATGTTAAGATAAGAAATAAACCTGTAATGTTGCAGATATCTGGTTACATTGAAGTACATTACTAACACGAGTCGCAGGTGATCATCTGCCATTGAGAAGCAGACAGATGATATATTTACCTGCATTTTGCTAACAGTCATAAAAGAAACTGAAGAAGATATTTTGTAAAACACAGAACACCAAACAAACCCTGATATCAAGTGTCATTTTCCCACACCAGCACCCAAGTCGCTCGGTGCCAGTGTTTCATATTTAGTTTATGATGTTTTCAAGATTAGACAATATAATTCAGTTCCGTATCATTTGTTTAAAATTCTGTACCAAGTAAGCAGAAATAAGGACTTTCAGGTGTTTCAGGTGATAGTACCTCCTTTCTGTACGTGACTTGTTGCTTTAACTGTTAAGTCCAGTGGGGTTTTCTAGAAGTTTTTTTCTCAAAATACCATGCTGAAATGTAATTGAGTGTATCTCAGCATGTAAAAACTCTACTTAAATAATGTTGGTATCAAAATAAAGCTAACACTTGAGAGATTTCATCAGAAGTGTAAGTATTAAAACAGCTGCTGTGGTTTTAGGGATATTGAGGATGGAACATATTTTTAATTTTTTTTCCACTCTCACCTGAATAATTTTTTTCATTAGACAGTATGTAACCTGTTTAAAACTATAATGAATCAGACTAAAACTCTTGGAAACTATAAATCCACCTGTGGACATCACCTGTGCAAAGATTCCTGTTGCTAAAATGAACTGGAGCAAAGTTACAGAGGTTTTAGTAAAGAAATAATTTAGCATTTTGTCATTCTGCACAGGACAGACCATGATGGTACCATTAATAAATGTTAAGAAATCTGAAGTTTTTACATCCAAAAGTTTTTTATTTTTTCTTACCTGGCCAAAAAGATTTATTATTGAATGTTTGCTCTTTTGAAAGATTATCCAAACATTTATTTGCCACCATATATATATATAAAATAATGAGAAATTATATTTGACTTTAGTTGGATCATATTCACTCAAAATCAGGTACAAAAAAAAACTTTCAACACATTTTACAACTTATTTTGGTATCTGCTTTGACTTGCTTAAAATAAAAGTGTCAAAACTTTTTCCTTTACAGATTTGCTTGGCGTTTGAACTGTTTGGTGGATGTAAAATAGTTTTGATACCAAGCATGTCCAGTTGACAGAAGTTAAAAGTAGAAAAGGGAAAAGGCTGTTTTGCCCCCAGGGCTGAAGAGTTTTCCTGTTAGTTAAGTTGATTCATACTTCTGATTCTGGGAGAGTTATTGTCTGATGAAAGATTGAAACTTAATATTTAGTGTATGTTACTTCTTCTTATTGCATCAAACTAATCAAACCACAACCTGTCTCCCAAGGTTTGGACCAAACCATGACTTTGGAGTTTTAAAAAAAGGAGTCTACTTTTTAAAGCAGATTYGATTTATTGCCCAGTTTTTTGGAGTATTTTACTCCACTTCCATTTCTGAAGTATTGAGACGTGACTGTACTGACCTGCAGCCTTCAGGTCCATCTCTGCCAGGTCTTTGGTGAGTTCACTCGTGCTTGCCTCGACTGACCCCTCCCCTGTGATGTCGGGCACTGCGTTCCTGCGGCCTGTGCGATCACAGTTGATGAAGTCTGAGTACGACGTCTCCACGTCCATCATCTGTCCATGACCAGCGCTCTCATTACACCTGCCAGAGACCGGAGGGAAGGTCAGATTAATCTCTCTGTTGTTACTGAGTCATGGCCATGTCTACTTAAGCAGAACTGAGAGTTGAAAAAAAATGGGACGATGAGCTAAAGCTTTTAGAAATCCACTCAGAGCCGAGCAGCTGAAATAAAATCAATAAAAGGAAGACAGATGATGTTAATAATTGCCCCTCCCATTTCTCTCCTAACCGGTTGACCCAATTCCATCAGGAGAAAGGGCCATCTCTTCTCTAGCACCACTCTAATAAAGTCTTCTGAGGGTACTCGGACAGCATCTTCAGGAAGAGGAGTGGACGGAGGACTAGAGTAAACAACCAGCTGAGGCGGAGCTAGAAAGAGTTCCAGCTAAAAAAGTTAAAGGCTCCCATCCTCCTCTATTTCCTGTTTTCACTCTATTTTCAACTAGGCCTTATGTCCTGCCAACCACTAAAATATTTGCTAACTCCCCAGAGAGAAGAGGACAAAAATTAAGACTTCACCAGAAAGGAAAACAAATGAAATGTGGCAATAGAAAGTGTTCGTTCATTTTATGAAGATGAGGCCAAAACATTTTAGATTGAAATCATCATTACAGCTGTGTCCCTGAGCTTTATTCCCCAAGTGTCCCCCGTCTTCCCACCTGTGCTCAGGTGTGACAACATCGCGCTGAGAGGAGGTCTTTCTGTTTACCAACTCCTTTTCAAAATGCCCCATTACTGGTTCAGCATGCAGGCTGGCCCTGAATGAGGTCAGCAGCTGCTGCAGATGGTGCTCCTCAGAGATGAAGAACAGTAGAAGGTACAGCGGGTAAAATAAGTATTGAACACGTCACCATTTTTCTCAGTAAATATATTACTAGAGGTGCTAATGACATGAAATTTCCAACAGTTGTCGGTAACAACCCAAGTGATCCATACATACAAAGAAATCAAACCATAAATGTCCAGAAATGAAGTTATTTGTAATAATGTGGAATGGCACAGGGA